GGGCCCGCAGACCGTCCCCGGGGGGGGGGCACCCGCGGGGGGATGGGGACCCTTGGGGGGGGGGGGCACCCCCGCGGAGATGGAGACCACCGCGGGGCGGCGGGGCGGAGGCACCGAGAGCCCTGCCCGCAGCCCCCCCGAGCCCCCTAAATGATGGTTTCACATTGCCTCCCGCCCAAAATACACCCTCCCTCCCAAAGCCCTCCCTGCCCTGGCCCCCGCTCACCCCGCACCGGCGGGCGGGGGGCTGCCCGGCTCACGGCCCCACCGCCGGCGTCCCTGGGAGGGTTTGGGGGGCAGAGGGTTATTTCTGCGCCCCCCCATAACGTCTGGCTTCCCTCCCGCAGTGTTCCCCCTCTCCTGCGCCGTGCAGAGCTACTCCTGGGGGAAAGTGGGGCTGGAGAGCGAGGTGGCCAAGCTGCTGGCCAGCAGTGACCCCCTGGTCCAGATCCAGCCCGACCAGCCCTACGCGGAGGTGAGTGCCCGGCCGTATGTCCGTCCCGGCCCATCCGTGTGTTCATCCCAACCTGCCGCGGCTCCCCTGCCTGTAGCCCCGGCGGGGAGGAGAGGAGAAGCCCGGCGTGACTCAGCCCCCAGGGGAGCTGCCTTGGCCACATCGATCACGTCCGGGGCCAAAAAGCCTTGAGAAAAGCCCAAGTCATCCCGTTGGCTGCCTGGCTCAGGGGTCGGTCCATCTGTCTGTCTGTCTCCCGCAGCTCTGGATGGGTGCGCACCCCCGGGGAGATGCCGTCATCCGGGATAACCGCATCCCCCAAAAGACCCTGGGCCAGTGGATCGCCGACAACCCCGCCTGCCTCGGGGCGAAGGTGAAGGACACCTTCCAGGGTCGCCTGCCTTTCCTCTTCAAGGTGCTGTCGGTCAACACCGCCCTCTCCATCCAGGCACACCCCAACAAGGTAGGGAGAACCCCAGGGGGGCAGCCCCGGCTGGACCCTGTGTCCCTGGGGAGGTCACCCAGCTCCTCTGCCCCCCTCTCCAGGAGCTGGCGGCGAAGCTGCATGCCCAGTTCCCTGAGCACTATCCCGATGCCAACCACAAGCCTGAAATGGCCATCGCTCTCACCCCCTTCGAGGGCTTGTGCGGCTTTCGGCCCGTGGAGGAGATCGTCTCCTTCCTCCAGAGTAAGGATGGGCGGTCGCGAGGTCAGACCCCGATGCCACCTTCCCTCCCTGTGGTGGGTTTGGGGTGGGGACAGTGGCCGTGATACCTTGGGATGGGGGTGCTGGGCTGCCCCGTGGTGGCGGCCGCTGGGGATGACTTGGGTTGGCCGCCCCGGCAGCCGTCCCTGAGCTGCGGGCGCTGGCTGGGGGGGGGGGGGGGGGCAGCGGGAGCGACGACCCCCGCGGCGTCTCGGCTGCCCTCCGCGTCTGCTTCACCCGCCTGATGAAGAGTGAGAAGAAGTTCTTCGTCGACCAGCTGAACATGCTGGTGAAGAGGATCTCCCAGGAAGGTGGGTCCTCTGCCCACTGTGGCCCCCCAGAATGGTTTTGGGGGGACTGTGTTTAAGGGAGGGGACGGGGCACCCCCCCCAGCCCCCTCCCCAGCGTTGTGCCTGGTCTCTGCCCACGCAGTGGCAGAAGGGAAGGACACGTCAGGGAGCAACGGGGACCTGCTGCTGCGGCTGCACTCCCAGTACCCGGGGGACATCGGCTGCTTCACCATTTATTTCCTCAACCTGGTGAGACTGGAGCCGGGGGAGGCCATGTTCCTGGGAGCCAACGAGCCCCACGCCTATCTGCATGGAGGTGAGCATTGCGGTGGCTTTCCTCACCCAGGACCCCACAGGGACTGTCCCCCAGGGTGGCCATGGTCTCCTGCACAAGGTTGGACCCCCCCGGGATGTGCGGGAGGGGTGGGGTGGGCTGACAGCGCTGCCTCGTCCCCGCAGACTGCGTGGAGTGCATGGCGTGCTCGGATAACACGGTGCGTGCTGGGCTCACCCCCAAATTCATCGACGTCCTCACCTTGTGCGAGATGCTCAACTACACACCAGCACCCAGCAGCTCCAAGATCTTTCCGGCCACGCAGAGCCAGCTCGACCCCAGCGTCTACCTCTACGACCCACCTGTGCCAGACTTCGCCATCATGAGGATAGAGGTGAGCAGTGACAGGTCTGCTCTGGGGACACGGTGGGGACACCAGCTTTCTCCCATCTTGGCTGTGCTCTTGGTAGGACATCTAGGTGTTGGCTGGGGTTTTCTTGGCATGGGTTTGCTCGCCCTTGTAGCTAGTGCTCCAGGGAGGATGGAGGGATGCTTGGGGCTGCTGGGGATGCTGGTGTCACCCCCAGGCAGTGCTGCAGGCTCCTCTCCCTCCCCTGTTCCCCCTGCCTAGAGCTCGCTCACCTTCTCCAGCAGCTCTGGGCAGAGGGAGGACCAGGAGGAGGTCTCAGGGGTGCAGCTTGGGTGTCCTCAGCTAAGCTGAGGTCCCTGGGCTTGGGCTGCTGCAGGTGCAGGGTGGCCTGGGCACAGCAAAGGTAGCTGCAGGGTGGGAACAGGGATGACCCTGTTCCGGCTCTCAGGAAAGAAGAAAATCTGTGGGAGACTCAAGCTGCGGTGACCCTTTCCATTGCAGATCCCTCCCTCCATCAAGCTGTACCTTGTCTCTGCTGTGGACTCTGCCAGCATCTTGCTGGTGATCCAAGGGACGGCCGTGGGCACCTCCACAGCCGCAGCCTCTGAAATGACTCTGCGTCGTGGCTCCGTGCTCTTCATCTCTGCCAACGAGAGCATTTCCCTCCACCTCTCCTCGCCGGACGGGATGCTGCTCTTACGACCCTGCTGCCTCCTCTGCAAAAAAAAATCCGAGCCTGCTGCCTCCTCTGAGCAGCACCCGGACACCTTCCCCCATCACTCCACATTCAAGTAGATAGAAACTGGCCTGAGCAAAGTCATCTCGCTTGGAAGTTTCCCCTCCATCTATTAAACCCCCAAAACAGCCCGCACACGATGCATAGAGAGCAATTCCACGATTCGACTCCTTGGACGTGGCACAGAGCAGAGTGGGCAGAGGAAAAGCATCTCCCCTCGCAGCTCATTAGCTGCATCCCCGTAGCATCATCCCCTCTGGGTGCTGCTAATGCCATATGGAGACTCTTATTATTTTTTCCCCCTTTCTTCTCACTGAGAAGCAGCAGGGAGGCCTGAGGTCTGCACCCTGGGTCTCGAGCATCTCTGCCCGGCTTCTAGGAGCTGCTGCTGTCCCCTGCGAATGTGATGCTGAGGCTTTCTGCTGCTCCTGGGTGCCTGCTGGGCTCTTCCCGAGCCTGGCTGATGGCAGGCAGTCCTCTGAGCCACGTCACCCCTTCCCCGGCTGTAAAAGAGGGCTGCTTGGCAGGGTGATGGAGCTGGAGAGCCTCTGGTGCTGTGAATAAAGTGGTGACTTTGTCCTCGGCGCAGGGCAGTGTGGTGTAGGGAGAAGGAGGAGGATGGGGAGAAGCCATGGTGTTTGCAGGGCTTGGGAACCAGAGATGGAGGCTGGCGGG